CCATGTATAGCTGAAGAGTAACTTGGTTTGTTAACACCAATAGAAATTCCTTTCTTCTATTCATGTAATTTTTCCCCTCCTTTTCTCATAAAAACTCCTTGCCTTCACCCCATAACTGGAACACTCTCTGGGTTTCTGCCTGAATCTCTGTTTCCCAAATAGCTATTCTTTGATCACAAACACTTGTTGCCTTTCACTTTGGATTTTATTTTTAGGTTAACAAAGCTTATCAATGCTGGTAGATTCCAGCCTCAGTGTGTGTCTCGGGGTAAATGAAGCAGGCTCTTGTTGCTTTCTATGAATCACAGAATAAAGAGCCAAACTACTTATAAGCACAAAGATTCCAAAGGTATCACAGCACAGATGGAAAAACTCAAGTGCCTACCACCCTTGACGGTCTCGACAGTCTCCAGTTTAACTACATAGCTCTGATTCTCTTCACAGGCTAAAAAGGAAATCCAATTCAAGAAAACTGATAAAGCTTTCTTTTCCTTGGGGAAAATGGACAGGACAAATTGCTCTCAAAAACCTAAAAGCTCCACCACCAATTGTTGAAAAACAATGGAGCCTCCATTGGCTGTTCTCTCTGCCCACAGAATGCTCTCAGAGGAACTGCAGGGCTGGGAAGGAGTGCAGAGGCCTATTCCCCATCCAAGGCACATCAAAGTTTTAATCAAAACCTGCCTTTCTCTTTGTGAAACTAAGCAGCTGCTATTTCACACCCACATATTGCTGGAGAGCATTCAATTACCCTCAACGACTTTGTTTAAAATGAAAAGGCTTTGCCTCCTGAGGACAGTGTGAGAGGATTGATTAATGTTGGGCAGAAGTATAAGTACACAAAAAAATCCCAAGTCCTGGAAGCTACAGCTGGGCCATATTTTACAAGCAACTCAAACCTACCTTCAAGATTTTTTGTAAAAAATAAGGACTTCTAAGGCAATTGGACATATGAAGGGGCATACTCTGCCATTTTTCCCCTCTTCCTTTGACGATAAACACAGAATTAGAAAACTAAGAGGAAGATGAGAAGTGATGAAGAAAGACCCAAATTTGCCATATGGTTTTTCAGGAGAAGAGGAAACATTTTTTTTTCCTTCTGACACACTGTTCCAAAGGATCTGTGACTAACAAGCCAAGCCAGCACATTGCTGGGTTCTGTGGCTCTGTGACTCAGAAGTCACTTTTCTATCCAATATATTAAATGTCAAGGAAAATATCTCTGATAACAGAGAAGAGATTTCTTCAGGAAGCTTGGTTCCTGTATGAGAGCCTCCTGTTGCAAATGAGCCACATGTTTTGCTGCTGTCATTTAGCTGGGTTGCCAACCTGTAAGGGAAGCATCTACCCAAGACGACCAAAAGAAGCATAAATCATGGAGAACCGTAACTTAGTCCTTTATCAAGCCCTGCAAAAGCACTTTACCCATGTAATCATAGTAAATGTCTATTTAAGAAAAAAAATCAGAAAGATACACAAACCAAAAAAAAAACAGAGAAAAGGGAAAGGGAAGAAGAAGAATCACAGTGATATTTTGATGCATACATAGTATGCAGAAACAGGAAGCTAAGAGCTCTGATGGAATGCTTAAAGCCTCTGCAAAATACAAAAATGTATGGGCTCCAGGCTAGTTCTAATCAAAAAGAAGCAGTATTTCTCCATCATGTGTCATGAGCCCTCACCTCATTTCACAAAGCTCTAAGATTAGAACCCCCGATGTGAAAGAGGATTTCATATTTAGAGCAAGTTCTTGCATGGCTTGGTGAAAGAAGGGGAAAAGACTGATATGAGGGCTGCACTTCACTTCTCTTTTTTATAATGATTATTTTCTTTAAGAAAAGCATAAGCTGTGATCAATGTGGCAATATAATTGTTGAATTTTTGTTCCTTTAACACCTGCAAAGGAAGCATGTTGACAAGAAACAGCAAACCAATTATTTCATACAGGTTTTCATCCATCCAGAAAGCCATGCTCAAAATAGATGGAACTTTTCCTTCTTCACCAACCAATCTGGTACGTGCTTACAGCGAGTACCCAAGAACCTAAATAACATTGCTTATCATTATTCTCAACAAATGAAAGTTAAGTAAAATAAGATCCAAGGAGTTTAACACGTAACTTCCAAACTTTAACTATACCAATTATTTAGGTGCATTCATCTTATATGTCAGCGTATCTTCATAGGAGGCTAAGAAGGAACAAGATTCGTGCCCTAGGGAGATAAGGGATATTGAGCTCTGTTACCAGAAGTGGGAGGACAGATCAGATAACAGGTCTTTCCAGTTCTGAGGAACATTTTGATTCAACTGAAAAAAGAGGCAGAGCGGGAATGAAACAAATTCAAGATTCCTCCTATCTATGAATTTGGGAAAGGTAGAATGTATACCCTGAAAACAAGTAAATAAGTAATAAATATAGCTAAGGAGAAGGAAATCCAGGGAACAGTTCTCCTTAGAAGGCTAAAAACTTAGTATTTTAAAAATAGCAATAAACTCACTTCTTTCTTATATTTAGAGTTATGGATAATAGGTTAAAACGGATTCTTCTATTTTTTACACATTGGTGTCTCGGGAGTAAGCATTTACTAGATGTCCCAACTCTGGAGAGAAAACATGCTCTCTGAAATGGTTTACCAGGCCACAACCTATGCAAAGTAATCACAACTTAGGACTGCATTTCTGTTGTCATCTCAAACTGGAGGAAGGTCAGCATGGAAGAAGGACCGACATAGGAAGGTTTCCAGGTGATACTTTTGACCTGAATGTTCAAGGATGAAAAGGAAACAGGTTAAACAAATTACTTTTGGGGAATGGCTGAGGCTAACTACTTGGGACAGATTAGTGAAAATGAAAGCTACCATCAGTGCTTACAACATGCCAGACTCTATACTAATATTTCCTTTTGGTTTTTTTCTAATTTAATTTTAACAAAGCTGAGCCCCAGCGCTCAGACTCAGATCTCCCGTCTCTGTGAGCCCCCCTCAGCCCCGAGTTGATCCCTACAGCCTCGTGGCTGTAGCGGCCCTGTACACTGACGACGCCCACAGTGCTGCCTTCAGCCTGCATGTTTCCTCCAACTCCAGACTTGCATGTCCAGCTGCCTGTTTGGTATGTCCACCTGGATGTCCAAAGAATATCTCAAACTCACCATGTTAACACCAGACTCCTGATATCCATCCATTCCTCCCCAAACAAAAACCTAAACAATAAGGATGACAGAAAACTCCTCCCTCATCTACCTTCAGAATATATCCAGAAGCGACCACTGCTCACACCTGCACTTCTGCCACCAGCTCTGAGCCACCACCACGCCTCCAGCCTGAATCGATGCAGCCTCCTAAAGGTGGTGCATGTGAGCTTCCCCTCCAGGGACCCCCTGAGTCTGTGCTTTCCAAACGTCTCCATCGGTAAGACAGGCTCCCCGTTAGACACTGTTGTCTGAAGTAGAGACTAAGTGATTCTTGGACAGGTGACAACAGAAACATCAGAGGCTAAGAGCAGATGTGAAAGGAAGAGTGCAGGGCAGGGTTGAGGATATCAAAGATGGGGCCTTTGAGAACATCCAGAGGGACAAAGGAGTCTGAACTCTTAAGAAATATCAAGTCCTAGGTCAAACGTTCCCCTCTCAGTTAGCCTTTCTTGACTCCCAAGGTAGAGTTCAAGTCCTTAATTAAAGCATCCGTCACATTATGGGAGGCCTGTGCTGAGCGCCTCCCCAACTAGACTTTGAACACATTTTGTACCCCCGGCACCTGATGCAGCATCTGGGACCTGGAAAACCTTCAACAAAAGCGCACTGGATAACATGGTAACGTGCAACGTGATTAGGAGCACGGAGAAGGAAGTTGGCTGCATTCTTCTGCAAGACCAAGTTAAGACTCTCCACAGGAAGTGAGGTTTTGGAGATAGAAAAAAAGCTTTTGAACTTATCTAGGGAGATAAATAACGCTAATGGGACCTCAGTGGCGCGGAAAGACAGGACGAGACTTGAAGAGGAGGTGGAGGAAAGGAAAGCAGAAGAAACAGTTGGGGGGTGGGGCAGGTGTGATATTGAAAAGTAAGTTGTAACTAGGAAGTTAAAGAATGCGGCAGACTCAAAGGAAGAGTTTTTCTCTCTACCCTAGAGGAGGGGTGGTGCCGGAGGGGGAGAGGGATGTTTAAAAGGAAGTAGGGAAAGCCAGGCAACAAAGATGACTTGACTGGGGTTGATGGGTATGAGGACCAGGCAAGCTCATACCTGCAGTTCGTAACCTTTTCACTCCCAAGTAAGTACCAAGTAAATTACGAGCTCCAAAAGGAGGGTGGGAAGCCCGAGGCTCAGTAATCTGAGGTTAAAACAGGACTATTTAGGAAGGTGTGAGCCAAGAGGTTAATGAGGTAGGAAGAGCAACTCTGTGGGGTGTTGTAAGACAAACCCAGGTTACTACTTGTCTTTCAGGTTCCAATTAACTCTTCATTAAGTGGTGCTGGGGACTCAAGCTCACACCCCGCGCCAGCCACCTTGCCGTCTGCGGTGTAATTCAAGGGAAATTCGGCTGGAGAGTAGACCTTCCTCACTGCGATGAAGGTAGTGTTAAGCAATTTACAGTGGATACCCACCCAGCTTTGTCCAGGCCTCGAGGAGAGGACTAGGGAGAACCCAGAATACAAATGAAATCACTTCTTTCAGAGCCCATCACCCATACTCTCCCCTCACTCAAATGTAAGGAAGGTCGATGAGAGCAGGCCTTTGTCCTTCGCAGCTGCATGCCCACATAGCAGCGGGGCAGGCACACAGTGGACGCTCAGCAAACAGTGGTTGCATACTGAATGAACTCTGCTCAGTCCCACTTCGTTATATTGAAGGATGCCACCAGTGGAGCCGCCGAAGAGAGCAAAGGTTAAGACTTTTTTGAAGGTCCCAGTGCGACGGCCTGCGAAGCCCCGCGCGGAGGGCTCTGCAAGGCAGTGGAGAAGGGGATTGGGATCTAGGGCCCAAGACTGCAGGGTTTGCAACTGACCTTCCGTCGGGGAAGCCCGCGCGGGGCGCAGCAGCCCGGCTCCGGCGTACCGCTCCCGCCGCCCCCCGGCGGCGCTCGGCGCCCGCTGCGCACGTAGGTCACCTGCCTCCTGCTGGCGCCGCGCGGCGGACCAGGCGCGGGCAGCAAGTGCGCCGCAGGCGGCCGAGGGGCCGAATTCGACGGGGTGCTGCGGGCTAGGGATCGGGGCCCGGCGCGCCGCAGCTCGGCGCAGAGCCGCAGGCCCACCAGCAGCGCGGCGCCCAGCAGACACCGGCTCAGGGAGCTGCAGCCCCTCCCGGGCGACCTCTCCCTCGCCATGGCCGGGGCAGACCCCAGGGCTGCGTTCAGCGGCCCTCACGCGGCGCCCGGCCAGCAGCAGGGATGTGGCCCCGCTGTCCTGAGCGGCCAACTGTGGGAACACCCCCGGGAGCCACGGCGCGGGCTCGGACCCGCCTCCCTTCCTCCTGTCCAAGGAAGCCTCGGCGTAACCTTATCCTGCCCAAGCGCTCCCGGACACTGGAAAAAGCGAGGCGTGGAGGGCCAGGCGGGATCCCGGGGGGTGCAGGCGCCTCCGCTGGGCAGGAATGTGAGCCCAGCCTCACCTGGAGGGTCCCGGAGGAGCCTCCCTCCACCCCAGCCTCCAGAGCCGGCGGAGCTGAAAGCTACATTGCCAGAAAAAGCGCATTCCTAACGGGAGGGATCCTGGGCCGCAACTTCATTTTCTGGTATTAGTACTGTTGAAGAAACACAGGAGGATAGGTGAGCCGCCAGGTTTTGCTACAAGGAGTAAGTTCTGATTGTCAAGCAGTTTATGCCATTAAACACAATATAAAAATACATCGCACTTAAGCCCAGTTTTACAACTTATCTCCCTCAAGAAAGGAGGGGAAGGAGAGCGCTCGCTTAGTGCAGAATAATCGAATTAGAGTTATTCCATTTCTAAATTCTGCCTGAAGCCAATCCGTACTTTCTCTCCGTGTTATGAAATGTGTGGGGGCGAAGGAGGAGAGAGAAAAAGCCTGCTAAGATAACTGACAGCAGGGAGAGAGAACAGAAGATACTGGCATGATGTAAATCAAATTAATTTAGCTACACACACACACACACACACACACACACAGCCTCCCTGCTGTCCTGCAGAGATACAAAGGGACAAATTTATCTTTCAGCAAAATGCTCCCCAGCTGGTGTTTTCATCACCACCTTGACCTTAATTAATCAGACTGAACTCTCACAGCCTGAAGTCCAGTGTTGGCTGTTCCATTTCAATTGTTAATAAAATTCTTTCCCACACCCTTTTGCAGTTTGGGTTTTAGGTTTCAGTTTGGGTTTGGGTTTGTTTTCTTTAGCGGTGGCCACTTTTTTATTTTTTTGTCCTTTACGCTTGCATTTTTCATGTTTCTATGTAGACTGCCCCTGCTGACCTACTCTCTCCACTTAAGAGCCTACAGAATGAACAACAGAGATGAAATATGGAACCCCCCCTGCTACCCCCCATTTGATTTTCGGGAATTTTCCACAGGGAGCCCTCTTCTCTAAAATCCCCCTGGCTTAAGAAAGACCCAATTTATTCTGTGTCACTGTACAAAGCACTTGGGCTCTTTCTCTACGTGTAACAAAACCCAGCCCAATCTAGTTCTTTCCCTGGGCACACCGGGTCCTCAGGCTCCTGAGTGTTTCTTTATGACTGATTTGTTTTTTCTTTAGATGTAGCCCTTCAGCTACTGCAGATGGGCTCTGTTTTAAAGAATCCAAGCAAGTGCATTTTTCCTGACACAAGCGCTAACAGAAAACTTCACATCCTGTGTCTATTTAAACAACATGAGCTGCAGTGCCAGTTATGAACTATGTGTTGAATCAAGATTCAGCCTTTCAGAAGCTGTTAGACTTTGGACAAAGTACTTAACCTCTCAGTTTTCAACTGGATAAATAGACCTGTATATCTGGTAAGATTACATAGATTGCATAAAATATTATATGTTTAGTACCTAAGGAATCCCTGGTCCACAGATGGTAATTAATGGCAATTATTTTTATTATTTATCATTAAAGAAAATCGTGGATATTATCATGAAAAACAAAATTTAAGCATTGATTCCAAGGTAGGTAAATTCCAAAGTATATACTTTGATTCCAAAGTATAAGGAGATTTGTAAGTATCAAATACAGTCTTCTCTGGAATTAGGCACATCCAACAAGGCAAGAAGCAACCATTAAGACTCAAGATCCCACAAGTGCCCTCTATGAAGTTGTAAAATTGTATAATGCTATTTGTGGCATGATTTGTATCATGCTTGATAAACCCGGATCACTGATGTCTGATGTAGACTTGGTTGGAAGTTTTAAGTTTTATTTTTTTTCATGCAACCAACAGTATCACTAACTAAAGAAGTAATCACTTGAAGATTATATCACTAACTTATGTCTTCTGCTCATGTTGAGTTACTCTCCAGAGAGGAAAAATGAGGAGTATCCTATATTATTAAAATAGGGATATTAATAAGACTCTGGACTGGCGGTGGAGAGGGACACACATAGAACAGTGTCGCTCTTGAAGAGAAATGGGCAAAATGACCTCATATTTTCCCTTCTCTCATGTCTCTGGTTCTCTAATAATGTTTCCATTATGAGGGGGAAATCTAAATAAAAATGCAATATTTAAATGCCCTTTTCTTTTATCTTTTGCAACCATTTCTATGTGTTTATTACTAATAAAAAGGAACGGTTTACATGTATAGAGCATTGTTAACTTTCTAGGAAGAAATCTCCCATTTTTAACTTCCACACAATATTTCCCTGTGTCGTGAATGATAATGAATAGTGAAATGGGTCAGTCAGTAGACTGGAGAGGCAAATCCAATCACTGTCGCAGCTGAAAAGCAATCTTTCATTCACGACCTTTACTTTTCACATAGAGTTGAACTTGTCTTGGTCGTTTCTGGGTATGTTTCAAAAAATGCAGATAATCATTAACCACTGAGTCGTACATTGGTTAATTAAACTTGCAGGTCAGTAAATCACAAAAGCAGCCTTCATTAGATCATAAATTACATCCTCCTTGAGGTTTCAGCCAACAAAATGAGTAAAATAGAACATTTTTGCTGCTGATCTCCTAGACACCAGACATTTCAATTTCCACACATGCTATAGTGCACTGCTTCTCAAAGTGGGTTAATTTTGCCTCTCGGGGACATTGGCAAATATCCGAAGACATTTCTGGTTGTTACAACAGGAGGTGGTGAGGGGGAAGATGCTTCCAGCATCTAATGGGTAAAGAGCAGGGACGCTGCAAAACGTCCTCCAATGCAAAGGATAATCCAGCCCAAAATGACGATAGCACTGAGGCTGAGAAACCCTGATGTCACGTAACACAGATGTTAATATGGCAACTTTTTAAAAAGATTTTATTTATTTTTTAAAGAAAGGGGAAGGGAGGGAGAGAAACATCGATGTCGATATTCAAGAGAAGTACCTACTGGTTGCCTCTTGAATGTCCCCAACTGAGGACCTGGCCCACAACCCTGACCAGGAATCAAACCGGCAACCTTTTGGTTTGCAGGATGGCGTTCAACCCACTGAGCCTACTTTTGATTACAGACTGTCCAGAGAGAAAACAGGCTGACAGTCAAGGATCCCCAACTCCACTAAGTAGTTATTTTTGTTTCACAATGTGAAGTATCCAGACTGGAATTAGAGTAATCAAATTTAGAAAGGAATAGAACTATAATTTCTGGTATTGATATCTTCCTTCAGCCTACCTATTCCCATCATCTTTTCTTCATGTAATGCATATTCATTGTGGAAAATATACACAAGCCAAAAAATATATATATATATATATCAATACTCATTCATATAGCATGACTTAGAGACAGCTACCCTCTCAGACTTTTTTCTATGCATTTACATTGTTTACAAAAATGAGATCAACCCTGGCTGGTGTAGCTGATTAGATTGAGGGCCAGCCTGTGAACTTAAAGGTCACCAGTTCAATTCCCAGTCAGGCCACATGCCTGGGTTGTGGGCCAGGTCCCCAGTTGGGGGCATGCAAGAGGCAACTGACCAATGTTTTTCTCACATACCAGTGTTTCACTCCCTCTCTTTCTCCCTCCTTTCCCCTCTCTCTGAAAATTAAATAAATGAAATCTTTTTAAAAATGAGGTCATATTAAATATCATGATGTCTAGAATTTGCTTTAAAAAAATTTGGTGGGGAGGTAGGAAATAACTTGGGGTATAAATGAAGCAAAAAAAGCAGAGTTTATATTTGTTACAGCTGTGTGATAGGGTTCACAGCTCTCTATTGTTGTGTTTGAAATATTTCATAATAAAAATGTCATTAAACAGTAACTTATTGATGTACTTTTTTTATTGCAGTAACATTGGTTTACAACATTATATAAGTTTCAGGTGTACAGTGTTATAATTTGACATCTGTATGTTCTGCATCATGCTTACCACCAAAAGTCTAGTTTCTATACGTTACTATGCAATTGGCCTTCTTTACCCATCTTGCCCTCCCTCTATCCCCTGCCCCATCTGGTGACCACCAATCTGCTGTCTGCCTCTATGAGCCTGTTTTTGTTTTGTTTTGTTTGTTCATTTGGGGGATTTTCCACCTATGAGTGAAATCATAGGGTATTTGTCTTTCTCTGTTTGACATATTCACTTAACATAATACCCTCAAGATCCATCAATATTATCACAAAGTGCAAGATATCATTTTTTTTTGTTTGGCTAAATAGTATTCCTTTGTGTATATGAGTATATTCCATACCTTCTTTATCCTTTCATCTGTTGATGGACACTTAGGTTGTTCCCATATCTTTGGCTACTGTGAATAATGCTGCAATGAACATGGACGTGCATGTATCTTTTCAAGTTAGTGTTTAGATAAATACCCAGAAGTGGAATTACTGAATCATATATTCTATTCTTAATTTTTTGAAAAACATCCATATTGTTTTACATACTGGTTATACCAATTTACACTCCCACCAAGAGTACGTGAGGGTTCTGTTTTCTCTGCGTCCTTTGAAAGATTTGTTATTTCTTTCCATTTTTTTTTATGACAGCCATTCTAACAGATGTGAGGTGACATCTCATTATGGTTTTGATTTACATTTTCTTAATAATTAGTAATGTTAAACACATTTTCATGTACCTTCTACAACATTTTTAATGGCTACATTTACCATGATTTAACCAATCTTCCACTGTTAAATGGTCAGATCATTTCCATATTTCATTTATAAACAACGCTGTTATGGACATCTTTTTAAGTAAACCTAATAGATCCAATATGGACTATGAAAGAAA